TTACTTTCATCTGACCAAATTACAGACTGCCAAAATTCATAATCTTTGCTCTCGAATTCTCTCGCCCAGTCCAAACGAAAGTTCCTGTTAATCTCTGAAATCAAGGGCTTCTTTCTTGCAACTCTTCTTTGATATCCTAGCTCTTTCAGAGTCTTTCTCACCACATATGGCGACATTTCCATGCTGTTGGCGACATCTTTGACGCCTTGACGACGGTTTCTGATGACTTCTCTATTCAGCGCCCTTTTCTTTCACTCAGACACGATGCTTGGTCTTCCTGAACGTTGTTCCACACGACAATGGCCTTCTTCATTAAATGTCTTGACAATATTATTAACCGTTTGTTGATTAACCTGGAAAAAACCTAGCAATTTCTCTACTTGACTTGCCACACTAATGCCATCCTATTGTTTGCCCTTGTTGAAATTCACCAATTTCTTTACTTCCACGAACTTTCATTGCAAAATATAAGTCAACTATTGTTCAGAGATGAGAGTAGCTTGATACTAACACGGTTTTGTCTGAAAAAAAAAGAAGATACGTTATTACACAAGCCAAAATTGCTGTCATCAAGGGTGGCTAAAAACTTATCATAGCCCATTGAATCGTCTCCAGATATAACGAGCAACATTTAAGGGAAGTGCCGAGAAACACGCCATTTTGTAACACGACTGCTAATGCTTTGCTGAATTTAACACGTGTTGATTATAAAATAAGTCTTTGCAATAGAATAGAAGTTCGTCGATTATCTCCTGGAATTCTAGTGACTGTACTAGTTTCAATCAATCTTGTTATTGTTGCTAACATTCTGAGTCAATGCACTCTTCATTATTACTGTTATTTTATTAGTAGTTTTATACATCTTAATATTTTTTTTTTTTTTTATCCCTGACACACTGAGTCAATACACTCTTCATTATAGAATAGGGTTAATATATATATATATATATATATATATATATATATATATATATATATATATAAAAATGTAAATGCATTGTTGATGATTTTACAATAGGAAAGTATTAAAAATATGGAAGAAAGGGATTGTCAGTGGTTAGGAATGAATGCAAAATTACTGATAGAATAGGGCTATTATATGTATAAGATAAACGCATTGCTAATGATTTTACTATAGGAATGCATTGAAAATCAGGAAGAAAGGGATTGTCAGTGGTCAAGAATAAATGCAAGCATTACTGATAGAATAGGGCTATTATATATATAAGGTAAATGCATTGCTAATGATTTTACTATAGGATTGCATTGAAAATCAGGAATTGTCAGTGGTCAGAAATGAATGCAAGCATTACTGATAGAATAGGGTTATTATATGTATAATGTAAATGCATTGCTAATGATTTTATAATAAGAATACATTGCAAATCAGGATGAAAATGATTGTGTGTGGTTAGGATTTAATTACTGATAGAATAGGTCGATCAATTATATAATGTAAATACATTACTAATGATTTTATTATAGGAATGAATTTGTAATTATCCCCCACTCTGGGATTCTTATAAACAATACTGAGAATTAAATATAGCTATTATGTGTCTCATATAAATACAAATTTTACTACAGAAATCTTTTATAAATCTATTAATTCCAAAAAATTATATTAAATGTCTATTAATTCTAGTAATACATTGCCAATGATTTTTTGTAATAGAAATGAACTGGAAAAGAAGACGAATTGTATTGTCATTGGTCAGGTCTTCATGTAAGGCGTTACAGACAAAATAGAGCTATTAGAGTTATAATTTCATTAAGAAGAAAAAAATACCTTGCGGCAGAACAGATGCTGAATGATTTGTGATTAGTTTTCTCTCACTTCGGCTGGAGAGAGAGAGAGAGAGAGAGAGAGAGAGAGAGAGAGAGAGAGAGAGAGAGAGAGAGAGAAAAAGCAAGTCGTGTTTTGTTGTTGATTTGTTTTGTTTCTTTTTCTGTTCGGATGTCGTTGTCTTGCTTCTGTTTTATGATCAGACACTCATATTCTGGTGGAAATCACGTCAAAGGCGTGTCGGCAGGGCTGTCGAGGTTTAAGAGAGGGTCGCGAAGAAAGGGCTGGTCAGGATGGTTAACGATGCGCGCGTGGCTCGTCTCGAGGGACGACGATTCAGATGTAAGAGTTATTAAGCGGTTCGTAATTAGAGTGCAGGTGCAAGTGAAGTTTTCTTTCTTTTTTTTTTGTTTTTGTTTTTTGGAGGTGTTCAAGAGATGTGTGTGTGTGCGTGCTTGTGAGCTCGCGTGCGCGTGTCTCTGGGTGTGTGCATGTGTGTGTGAGAGAGAGAGAGAGAGAGAGAGAGGGATGGTGATAGAAGTGAGACGGAGAAGTGCAAAGATGCAAAGAAAGGAAAGAAAGTCACTAGGAAGCAAGAAAATATAAAGAAGTAAGAAATACTTCCTATGTGGACGATCATGGCTCTCTCCAACATCCGATCCGAAAAGTAAACAAATTTTGAAGCAATTAAGAGTTTTTTTTTTAACCCAATATTATTTCTTATTACCTTTAAAGGTTGCACTTTAGAATTGATGATTTGTGTTTTTTTACGGCTTATCAACCTTTTACACGGCACGGTAGAGTAATGGATAGTGGCTCAGATTGAGGAATCGGAGAGCCGAGTTCGAATTCCAGTCAAATCCATTATATTCACTTACATGCTAATACCCTTGGGAAAGGTATGAAATAGCAGGGCAGACTGGGTTCTCCCCCTACCGCAGAACTATGGGATGGAAAAAGTAGCGAGGGCAGACTGGGATATTCTATAGCCTTGATGGCAACAGGTCTATAACCTTGATGGCCTGGTCACCGCAAAGAAATGGCAACCTACTACTGATGGAAAAGTCATGATCGACGAAGCGAGTATCACGCATGGTACATAACTGACTGACTGGCAGGGTATTTAATTTATTATTTCATATCTGTCGATATTTCTGAGATTAGTTATTGTAATTACTTACCGGGGATCCAAATAGTTGTGAGTTCAATACCTGGTTACAGCAGAGGTGAACAAAATCTTGGAGAGTTGATTTAAAGGGAGATAACTGATGCTGAGGCACCCGGAAGAGGCATGGCGCTTGGAACTAGAACAATCTACTCGGTGAACGAAATAAAGGGTTCAGTTCGAAATTTCCATCACCGGATGAAGGCCGAAGCGTACAATGACTGAAACGTCGGGAATATGGTAACGATGATGAGGAAAACAGTCCAAATAATGTAAATCGTGTAAATAATTATTGTTTCATATACAAAAATATACTTTGCAGATATAGATTTAAGTCAACCAGAGATAAACCCTATTTAAATAGGGTAACTGAACCTTGCTTTGGTGCGAGGCTATTTCTTTTAATATATTTAATCATAATGTCCTTACGATGAGGCACTGTAGAGTAATAGATAAAATGGCTCGGATAGAGGAATCTGAGAGCCGAGTTCGAATTCCAGTTGAATTCACTACATTCGCTTGCATCTCTTCTGTAAGCCTGGGTGTGCGGGTGGTGTAGTGTCCTGGAATTGTTAATCAGAGAGCAGGGTTCCAATTCTGGTTCGGTTCGTTATATTCATTTCCGCGCAAAAAAATCCTGGGGAAAGATATGAATCCACCACTTCTCCCCTAGCTATGGGTTAATTAGTAAGATTTGTACTTAATCTATTATTATCTAATAAAAAAAATCTTACAAAACGCAGTGTCTACTCAAATACAAGTATCCACTCAAAATAATGTTTAAATAATAAAAATCTGTCAGATTATTAAATAAATAAATAATAATAATAGATCCATCTTCTTTCTTTACAAATCTTACAATTTAAAAATGTTTTATGACTTTGAATCCCCTGCAAGGGTTGATAAGCCGTAAAAAAAACAACAACCCGTTCATGAATCAATGTTCATCTGAATTCCATCTCCAGCGCAATTGTCTTCGAGACAGTCCCGAGAATTCTTCATCGTAGTTGCGAGGCGGTTAAACGGGTATCATCACGGAAAATGGAACCAGCAAACCGAGATCGAATTTCAGCCGAGGCAGCGTCTATTCGCTTAACAGTAACATCCTTGGGAAAGGCATGACTCCACATCCCTGTGATTTTTCTCATTGTCAAATGAATTGAAAATATTTTTGTTCATTGTCATATTACGAATATTAACAGAGAGAAAAAAAATGCGAGTGGGCGAGGAATTAGTTCAAACCGCACCCCATGCCCAGAAAATATACAAAAAAAATAAGCTGTTGCCCTCATAGTCAACCTTGACATGGTTCTAATAAAATTTTCATTTATTGTCATTTTCTTGCTTGCCCTTATCCGGACGGATGCGCAGAAAGGCATGTAGCTGTACCGTGACCAAAACATGTGTCAAAATCAAATGCACGCTTCACTTCCGACGTTCCACACTAGGGGGCACTTGCCAGTTGCTGTTAGTCAGGTGATCAGCGACAATCAATCAAGATGGCGCGCGTTTCCTTTCCGGCATAGTTACCTCAAATTCGTCCTCCCACCACCACTATCAAATGAGACAGTATAGTTCCAACAACTGACACGATCTTAACCACTATCCTCATCACTTCCTCTTCTAGTATCCAAGAGATCACCGTTTTTAGGTCGCCTCTGAGCAATAATATTACCATCCCGGACGCCACCATTGCGAGTTTAATCACCGGGTTATTTGGGCGAAAATTGATGGTTTAAAAGCTCGCCTCGTTACCATTTGATTTTTATTATTCCCTTTCAAGACGTGAGCATTCATTGCTCTCCACAGCTTCCTGCTTTAAGTAATTTTTGGGCCCTTACTGTCCTGCTTTCTTCTTCTTTTGTCATCTATTCGCACTTGTCAAGCAGGTTGCTATTTTTCCCTGGTTCTATTTCATTGGAGACTTACTGTCGTATCCCACTGAAGCACCGATTCTCGTATAATCACCAAAGTTAAGCAACGTTGAGCCTGGTCACGACATAGATGGGGGGCCGCTTGGTAATACCAGGTGCTGATGGTGTGATGGGCTTACGGCCATATCACGTTGAAACATCGGTTCTCATATGACCATCGAAGTTAAGCAACGTCGAGCCTGGTCAGTATGTAGATGGGTAACCGCTTGAAAATACCAGGCCTGCAAGGTTAGATGTGCAGGTGGTGTAATGGATAACGACCAGAGAGTCGAGTTCCAAGTTCAGTCGGCTTCTTTATATTAACTTAGGCGCAAATACCATCTCTTCTCCCCAGCTATGGGTTAATTAGTAGGACCTGTATCAGTAGACATTATAAAATCTTACACCCTAAAAATATTTTTTGGCTTGAAATAACCTGATTAGAGGTATCAGAGATGTCGTTCTACAGAGGGACGTTGAGAATAGACGGAGCATGCAAGCAACTAGTAAGTTTGAAGGGAAATGGTAATTAAAATAGCCGGTATATATGGATTCAGAAATAGACAGTTGAAATTTCTAATGAGGAAACGAGGCTTGGAGAATTTGATACTCACAGGACGTTTTGAAGGTAAGAGAAAAGCAATGAGTAACTTAACGCGCTTGTGTAAATGGGTGACTGGACAGAGAATGGGAGGGTTAGTAAAAAGACGAATATTAATAAGAGCTACAAATGATAGGAAGTTGTGGAGAGTCATAATAGCAAACAAACCGAATAGATGCGAACCCGGTGTCATGGTCAGAACGCGAAAGCATTAACCACTCGGCCACGCAGTGTTGCGAAGTGCCTGAGAATCATACCACAGATTGATCCTTGTCAGCGCAATGCGGTGGGCGGAGGAGTTTGAAAATCTTCAATGGTTGTGTTAGCAAGAAGTCGCCAGTTGTTGTATAAACGACAGGTTGGTCTCGCAGGCGCTGAAGAAACACAAATAAGCCTCCCAAAAATAGACCCTCAAGACTGACGGGTACCTACTGCTATAGGCCATTGGGGGATTGTTCCGAATCCACTCACTCTCTAGACCTTGAGCGAAGGACTATATCAGTCCACAAAGTCGTACATGTAGGGTGATGACCTCAATACCGGCACATTCTAAACGTCATCTGGAGTATGTCAAAGAAGAAATGAGGCTCCCAATCTAGTTAATCTACTTCTAGATTATGCCCTGTGCGTATACAAGTACAGATGTGAAGAGATGGGCACAGAACACTTATCTATTCCATATAGTACCCAAATGAATCTACTAATAGAAAACAACGATAAATTTCAACCAGTAGCAGGTTTAAAGGCTCAAACAATCAATACTGAATGTTTTCTCATAAAGAAACGGTTAATATTGACATTACCAATGGATACCGAATGTTTCCTTATAAGGAAACAATTAATATTACCATCCCCATTACTAATAAATGCCGAATTTTTTCTTGTAAGGAAACAGTTAATATTACAATTACTAATGTATGCCGAATGTTTCTTTATAAGGAAACGGTTAATATTACCATCCCCATTACAAATGAATACCGAATGTCTCCTTATAAGTAAACAGTTAATATTACCATCCCATTATCAATAAATGCCGAATGTTTTTTTATAATTAAAAAGTTCATATTACCATCCCCATTACCAATGAATACCGAGTGTCTCCTTATAAGTAAACAGTTAATATTACCATCCCCATTACCAATGAATGCCGAATGTTTCCTTATAAGGAAACGGTTAATATTACCATCCCCATTACCAATGAATGCCGAATGTTTCCTTATAAGGAAACGGTTAATATTACCATCCCATTGAATACCAATGAATGCCGAATGTTTCCCCATTATAATGAATGCCGAATGTTATAAGGAAACGGTTATCCCCATTACCAATGAATGCCGAATGTTTCCTTATAAGGAAACAGTTAATATTACCATCCCCATTACCAATGAATACCGAATGTTTCCTTATAAGTAAACGGTTAATATTACCATCCCCATTACCAATGAATACCGAATGTTTCCTTATAAGGAAACGGTTAATATTACCATCCCCATTACCAATGAATGCCGAATGTTTCCACATAAGGAAACGGTTAATATAACCATCCCCATTACCAATGAATGCCAAATGTTTTTTTTAATTAAACAGTTCATATTACCATACCCATTACCAATGAATACCGAATGTTTCCTTATAAGTAAACAGTTAATATTACCATCCCCATTACCAATGAATGCCGAATGTTTTCTTATAAGAAAACAGTTAATATTATCATTACTAATGAATGCCGAATGTTTCCTTAGAAGTAAACAATTAATATTACCATTATTAATGTATAAGGAATGTTTCCTTATAAGGAACGGTTAATATTACCATTACCATTACCAACATAAAAATAGTATTTTATTTCTTCAGATTAGTTAATCCTAATCCATTTTTAAGAATAATGGAATGCTACGATTTATTTAAATATTGTTAGGCAGCATAATCTCCAATCTTCTTTACTGATAAAAACATTTCTGTTCCAATGCCTCTTCCAATCGAGTCAATTGCACAGTAATGGTTTGCCTTAAAAAGAAACGTCCTGGGTATGACGATAAACTACCTCCGCGTCCTGGGTAAGACGATAAACTATATCCAGCAGCAAGGTCTCTGATCAGGAGCGTGAAAGCCACCTTTTAATTGCTGGTGTTCACAGGTTCATTCTGACCCGGGGTTGTAGCACCTGTTAGGGTCCCAGCTATGGGCAAATAGTTAACACCCAAACTTGTGTAAAAATAGGTTTTAATACCAGAAATACTTTGTAATAAAAAAAAATTATTACCAGCAATAATTTTTGAAAGAATAAAAAGGAAAAAATATGACCAGCTATAGATTTCTTCAAGGAAAAATATTCCCAGAAATAAATTTTTGAAGAAAAACATTACCAGCAATAAAAATGTTGTTGGCATTAAATAACCCATTGAGGTTGATATGCCGTAAAACCAACAAAAGCTTAAAAAGAAAAACTATACAAGACATAAATACATTTATTCGAAATCACTTACACGGCCTTGTGGGTGATGAATTATCCCTCCACCTTTTCCTCAGACGCAACGTCGCAAGCCTATCGCTACTCCCATGACAAATCTTCGGAGTTGCTTTAGTTCCACCAATTCAGATCTTTATTGCTAAGACTCGCCATAACAAGTTCATGTCAAACCACGACCATTCTGTCCGTATTTCAAATGTAACGAAGAAGATCCACCCACGTAGATTTTCTCTCACGAACCCCTGCCCTGTGGAACAGACATCCGCCTGGACACTTCCCAGAATGTCATACTCTTCATGTCAAGGGTCAATCTTTACCTATCCTCCATAGGCACATAATCCTGACTTCCTACGTTTACATTCATATCGTTCACTTCATTTCGTTACCCTCTACTTTGAGTGGCTCTTGTGCCTTCTATTGGGTCAACACTATATATATATATATATATATATATATATATATATATATGCTCCTGAAAAAATTTATTTCGGTTGAGCTCTCTGGGGAGGAAATGTGAGTTTGTAAACAGTGACTATTATGGCTAATAATGCAAGACTCTTCGGAAAATCGAATTGAGTTCTCTCAGTCACTGAGTGTTTATCTAAAAATAAATACACTTAAAATTCACATTCATCCCTGCCGTGCGCCAACGGCTTAGTGGTAGAATCCCTGACTGACGCCAATTCAATCAGGTTTCGATCCTAGCTAGAGGCAACCGGATGTCTAGCCACACTGATGAGCTGAGTTACAGCGAAACAGTTTGTCTGTGGATGACAATATATATTATTATAATATATATATATATATAATCTTCAAAACCTCAGTACAATTATTCAAAAGTACCAATTCCAATGCAATTTTTATTTATTACCTGTCTATATTTTTGAGATTGTGAATATTTATTTTGTACGGACTGTTGTCCTTATCTTTATTGCCACGACGTTTCTGCCGTTGTACGCTCCGGCTTTCTTCAGGTTGAAATTTTCACCGGGACTCCTAATTGTATTAATGTAATATAATTGTAGAATGCTCTGTTATCAGTTGGAGAAATTGTACTTAGAGAGTTATCTTCTTGTTTGTCGTATGTTAAAATGACCTCAGTTCTACAGCCTCCGGTTCTGAGAGTCTTCTTCTGGGGTAAAGCGTAAACCGCATAAAACATCTTCACCCCCCCAGCTAATTCGCCAAAGATGCTTGATATATATTCAGTTTAAATGAGGCAGAGAAGACTTATTGGACAATGGATTTTCTTTTTTTTCAAGATATTCTTTGTGTGAGTTCTTAAATTCCAGAAAACCTAACTTATTATTTCTTATAGAAAGTTGGAAAAAAAAAAGAGGACCCGGAACCATTTTACCCTCACCCAGTTCTTATTTGAACACCCCTTTATTTTTTTTATACATTGGATTTTTGTGTATCAGTCATTCGAACTTCAAATATCGACTTTTCCTCTCCACACCCGACAGCCTCTCTCTATCCATCACCCCGCCACCCATCACATCATTTCGTGGTCACGTGTCCTGCCTTCGCTATGATTTTTACCGGACCGCACGGAAAGCTCCCCCCCATCTATTTTTTTCCTCTAACCCTTCGCCCATCGTCACCGAACACCACCCACTCCACCCACAATCCAGCCAGTCTGTATTCTCAACCTTTTAAAGTTTATAAGTGATCATTGTAAGAAGACGAAACGTAAATGGCGCCTGTCCATTATCCTGAATGGGTGGGGATCGATTCGGGCCTTGCACTTGTGCCTATCTTTCGTGGCTACCACGTTGCAGCGCAGGAAGTGAAGACAATAATTGGCGCGTGGGTCGTCCTGTCGCTTGCTCGCTTGGCCGCTCCCAGCCATTCCCATTGGCGTCTGTTCGTATGTCACTGCTCTTCAACAACCCTAGCCATCTCAGGCACCACTGCAAGTCTGTGGTCTTTCCCCTTTCACCATCGCGTTCCATCTCGCGCCCAAACCTGATGGTTTAAAAAAAATAGCCTTCATTATTATTGAGGAGAAGGAAGAATGCCTGAGAGAGTGTCCATCGTCGACAGCGACAATAGTGACACCGCAAATAATTGGATCTTTCCACCCAATACTTTGCTTTATTCGTCGACTGCCGGTGTATCGGAAATGTAACGCCTAGGAAAACAAAGTCCGGTACGGAGGACACCAACA